TAACGAGTCAGCCCTGTGCATACATATTAGGTGACATCTGGCCGCCAGAATCACCCTAAAGACACATAAGAACATAGACATCCAAAGTGAACGGTCTTTCGCAGCAGGCCTTTTCATAAAAATCATTTTTGGAACTTCTGTGTCCTAATATAGGCTGACAGGAGACTCTCCTTTGGGACACCACCCTTTTTACTCCTTCCTCTTGAGAGTCCACATCACGGGACCTCCTGTACTGTCCCCAGAGAGGCTGGATGTTCGCACTCACGTGCAGTGAGACTCACTGGGAGAGGCTGTGAAGCTGACAGACCGACAGGGGGAGTGTGTGCACTGACCGGCCACCTGGCGTTTCCTCAGCGAGCGCAAATTACTTTCCAGTCATGAACACTCTTGATGTGTCTGCTTTCTACCAACACTGCATGCCCTTGAATTTTAGTGTGGCATGAACTTTTAGAAGAGTACAGGAAGTATTTCAAATTATCATGGGCTTACCAAGTGCTGATAAATAAAAAACAAATTCAGATGCTTTCCTGGAAATCATGTCAAACTCATTAGTATACACATTAGCAGAGTTTGCTGTGTTCCCTATGGTTAGAATTGAGAAGGGGCATTTTGTATACCTCAATGCCTTGTCATATCCATAGTGGGCTCTCACGAAATATTTAGTGCATTGAATCAAATACCTAGAAACTAGGAGCATCACCTGCTTATTAGGGACAACATGAATGCTGCACAAATACCCACCATATATTTAGGGGAAAAAAATCAACTTTCATAGCCCTGGTCGGGGTCTTACCATATTAACATACACACAGACTGGCTAGGACATCGGGGGTGGGGTAAACTGCAATATTAATACCCACAGATCCCCATTCTTTTCCTTCCACCTAGGTTAATAATTAAAATTTATGAGTCCAAGTTAGATAGCTATCTTATCTACTTTAAATTCAATTTAACAAACTATTCTTGAGACACTATCAGTAACGATCGAGGGCTGAGCTGTCCAATGCAGCAGCCACTAGCAAACCGTGGCTTGTAAACGATTTATATATGGCTGGGCTGAATTCAGATGGGCTGTAAGAGCCACACGCACATTGGATTTCAAAGATTTAATACGAAAAGAATAATGTAAAATACATCACTAAATGTTTTTTTCTTTTTTTTTAATTTTGATTACCTGTTGTTAATATTTTAGACTTACTGGGTTAAACAGAATATATTTAAATTAATTTCACTTTTTTTTTTTAAACTTTATGTATCCTACTAGAAAATTTAAAATTACATATGTGGCTCACATTATGTACCGGACAGCCTGATCTAGAGTCTGTCAAAACAAGGTTATATTCCGTTTAAACATATTCAACAACACTAATGATAATATTCCTTTTAAAGTCCACAACACTTACCTTCTGAATTTTGAACTTTTTCATGAAAGGTATAAATTGGAACAAAAATCCAGGTAAACAGAACAGGAAATAAAGAGCCTCATGAACTATAAGGGATCCCCATGTTGCGATCTGGAACTTTGTATAATTATTCAACATGTAGTTCCAAGCATTTTTAAATGGTTCTTGCAGAGGATTCTCAGGTAAAAGAGAATCTACATACTCCACAGCCAAGGATGCTGAACTAAAGATGCTGACATTTTCATTTGTTGCCATTTTTCAAATCTCTGCAGACAGCCTACAATTCTGTAAAAATAAATAAAAAAATGAAATTCTAATAGTTATAAAACTTGTAGCTTCTGATAATTTTAAAAATAACAATTAATAAAGGGGTACCAATTTCTTGGATCCCAAACGTGGTTCAAACAAAAAACTCTCCATGTTACCATCATCTCCATTTCTTACTTTTAAAATCTTACTTTTAAAAGCAGTATCTACAAGAACAACAGTGGATAATGAATTCTGAATTATCTTTAAAGAGACTTTAAGTGTGGTCTCCATGGAAAAATTTCTAATTGCAATGAACAATTATTGCGTTTAAAAGTGTCATTTAAAACGACAAGAACCTATAAGGAAAAAATGCCAAAACTAACTACATAAGAATTAAATACTTCTACCTGGGGAATAAAAAGACAGCCATAAACAAAACAGAAAATCAAATGACAAACTAGAAAACTAGGTCAAAGGGCTTATGAGAAAAGGCTACACAGACTGTTTGAGAGAAACAAGGACAAAAACTCAATAAAAAAATGACAAAGGTCATTCACAGGCAGTTCAAAGAAAAGTAAACGCAAATGGTCACTAAACAAATAAGAAACTCATTTCACAAAACAAGGAAATGCATCCTGAAGCAAGAATTTCTTTCTACCTGAGCAGTAAATCCTTGAAAGTTCAGCAGTGCCCGAGACCCAGCACTGGTAAGGGAGTGGGGAGACAGCCTTCTTCACACACTGCTGGGGGTGCACGAATGACGTCACACTGGGGAAAACTCCCAATTATGAACGAATACAGCCTTTGACCCGGCAATTTTCTCTCAAGTGTACAAAGAGGCACGCGAAGACTAAAGGAAGTATTGCTTATAATAAGAAACATAAAGAGAATAAAAGAAAAACAAAACCTAAATAGGCAAGTCCATCAACAAGAGAGGAGAGAAATTAGGGTAAGTCCGTCCATACACAATGATACAGCCATTTAAAAGAACGAGGAAAATGGACATTCTACATACAGAGATGTCTGAGATACACTGCAAGTGAAATAGCAAGTAGCAGAATAATATGTAAAGCAACAGCCCCACTTATGTTTCTGTGAAAAGGGTATGTATTTTATCTGTGCACTTACATGCATATGCATGGACAGACACCCACAGAATCAGAAAAAGGATGGAGGATACAGAGGGAACAATTTAGAGCGGCGACCGCTAGGAAGAGATTAAGAGAGGTGTGTGTGTGTGTGTGTGTGTGTCTGTGTGTCTGTGTGTCTGTGTGTTTGTGTGTGTAGGGGGAGAGTTATGGAGGACAGGAGAAAAATTTCACTTTCCATTCTATACTATCTGTACCATTTTTTTTTTAACGAGTATGTTTTAGTGACATATTAAATAAACTTAAAAGTCACCAAATTAAAAAAAAAATATATAAATGTCACTTTTCTAAAAATGTTCACTGCTATATCCGATTTATGAATTATGATGGACCACTCTAAAAACAAATATTTTAAATTCTCAGCAGAGTCCTTAATAGTGCTTGAAATGCACCCCCACCCCGACCCGCTATTCCATTCCTCAGAGAGGACAGTGGCAAGCTTAGCCAACTCCTTCAGGGCTCTGCATTCACTCTGCATCCTTATTCTTCTGTCCTACTCGCTGTCAAACGACTTACACCATGGAGGCTATACTTTCACATCATGTACCTCCCACCCTCAAGATTTCCCTTCGCTTGTTTATCCTCTCCTCTAAGACTAACCAGTCTTCCCACCATCTGACCTCACCTCGTCAAGATACTGTCCTTCACTTACCCTTTCTCACTTTCGTCTTTCCCTCTTCACAAGTCTCTCCCTTCAAGTCTAAGAACACACTCAAGTCTTCCTTCCTTGAGAAAAGCTTCCCTAACCTCT